TATTGTAACTTCCATTTAAATTTATAGGAGCCTTTTGGAAATAATTTGGAAAACCAAAACAATATTTTAGCCCGCATGAACAAACTAATGTCGGTTCCAATTATACCCAACAAAAAAACCATTGAATTCTTTCAAAAAGGAATACTTATTTCTAATAGTGCACTTCAAATGCTATATGAATACTTAAAAAAGTATGATATTAAGTATATCCTTACAAGACGTCTGAACCAGGATATGTTGGAGCACTTCTTTGGGGCTATACGGAGCAAAGGTGGTCTCAATGATCACCCCACTCCGCAAGATTTTAAATATCGGATACGAAAATACATACTGGGTAATTTATATTGTGTTTCCTTTTTAATTTTCAAATAAATGAGAATGTATTGTCTTTTTAGCACGTAATACGGAATTGCCTTCTGGCACTGGTAACGTTGAAGGTGATGCTACGGAATGGATAAATGCAAGCACGGACGACACGGCAATTTTTAATCAAAGTTTTTCGTACATAGGGCCTTCTTAAGATGATGGTTACGAGGAGGTTTTGACGCAGACTCTAGAAGTCCCCGGTATAAGTGAAACGGATATTAGTGACATTGGTATTCTTCAGGAAGATGCTTTGGAATATATATCAGGATATATAATACGAAAGTTGAATTTTGAAGAATACGAATGTCACGAAAATTCGTTTACTTGGGTTGATCAGGTGTCAAAGGGGTCGCTAAAGAAACCATCAGAAGCTTTCCTTTCGCGTGTTAAAATGATGGAAATAAATTTTAACAAATTAAATGGGGGTACAATATCCTACTCATCTAATCTGCGAAAACAGTTAATGGAGGAAAGCATTGGCATCGACTTGCCCACACATGTTAAGGAATTATTTTTTAAATGCCGAATATATTTCCGCGTTCGCCACCTAAATAAGAGGCTTAAGGTCCAAAAGGCCAAACAAAGAATAATGGGCTACAAAAAGTTATTGAAAATCAATTTATAAAAATGTAAGTTCATATTAAAATTTAATTTTAATTTTAATTTTTTTTATTTTTAGGCTTCACTATATTGTGGGTAATTGGCTAATTACGAAAGCCAATCACCATCACCATTATCTCTGGTAACCAAAGGCTTTCCCAAATGTGATATTTATTTGATTAAATCAAAGCAAAACTAATTTTTAAAATGTACAATATTGTTAGTGGTACTTCCGATTTTGATAGCATATAAACTGGGAATTTCAAATATAAATATGGAATACATTACATTCATTCGGTGCTGTCTTACCTGAGCGTACAAATATGTTTTCTTATTTTATGGATATATCCAGTCCAGAAATTTCGTTACAAATTCCAGACGTAATTGAAGTTTGTCACGCAATCTGCTGAATATATATATATATATATATTTTTGTACTAAATGTCATCCCCTTTTATTCTAATTTCATTGGAATGGGACATTCACATCGTGTTTGGTTCACCTAATTTCTTAAATTGGCCGAAAATATATATGGTAGCTATATCCAACTCTGAACGCATTTCAATATAATTTGGCAAAGACTATGTCTGTAATATATCTGTGCATACAAAATCAAATTATTTTTTGAGGTACCTCTGATTCTCATGCTGCAGCTCCAGTTCTAAGTGGAATTTTAAAATTGTATGTAGCCTATTTTTCTTTCATGCGATGTTGTATATTTGCAAATTTTCAGAAAAATCCTTATGATTTTTGGAAAAAATAGTCCTAAAGAAATCCAAAATTACAGCTTTTAAAACTCTTTAAAACTATAGTCCTTATAAAAAAATATTTTTAGAATATCCGCAATTCCAGTCTACAAAATTGCCGTTTGTTGCCCCTATATTCTTTTAGAAGATAATGTGATTGATACACTCAGCTTTTCCGTTTATAAAAAAATATATTTTGACATGTTTTATTATTATTCAAAATGTTAGCCTTCTAAAGGAGAGCTACTCCATCAGTAGGACAATAGTGTCCATTTCGCTTATGAATTTAATTTGATATAAATTTGACAATAGATTCTTATTTCACATTTTATAATAGTTATTATTATTCCAAATGTTGACCCATTGTGGGGTAGGTATTTGATGCCATCAGATCTTGTTTTGCTAGAAATATTGGTATATGCACAGTTTGAAAATAATCGGAAGCTTATTTCGCATTTTATGAGCGTTTTGGCTACTCAAAATATTGATCTTTTATGGGGGAGGCACTACTTTGAACACGATATATGTTTGATAATAATATTACGATGCACCAAGTTTGGATCAAATTGGATACCCCCTCGAGAGTTATCGTGCGCACTAACCAGCCAGACAGACGGATCGACGGACATCCCTGAATCGACTTCACGTGTTCCGAAACGGATTTGGTCCATAGCGTCTAAAACCGTTCCATTTTCCATTCCATTTCCAAATTTATTGCTTTTCGCATAGTTATTTTTTCCAGAATGAACGTCAAAAAATAAAAGAATTACTTGTTTTGTTTTTCGATAGACTGTCTCTCGCGGCAGCAGCACTATTATTCATACATTTCCCAGTCCAGTTGTCAAAATTTGGCAACAAGCATATTCGCCACAAAATTCTTCTGTCAAGGCGAAAAATTTTATTTTTGCCTTGAGCATGAATTTTGACATTTCATCTGGTAAAATAACAGCTGTTTTTCGATTAATTCGCTCGAAGGAAGACCTTATAATTGGACCATGAATAAGACCAACTGAGCCATAGCTCTTGTGATTCACGGTATTTCTTATTGCAAATGGAACACTTTTAAATTTTTTTGCTGGTAATTCACTCCAAACTTGCTCTTAAATTTTGGAATATCAAGAAAAAATACTTTTAGTGAAGAAGACATAAACAAACTTTGTTTTTGTGTTGCATTTATTTAGGGCGAATTCAACTTGTTTTGACATTTAAAGGTGCCATTAGCTGGGGTGATGCGACTACCTAGTAGATCTACCCATGGTACAATAAAAAGGTAAGGTAGAGCTCCCAGCTGATTACAATTTTTTTCTACTTTTGCCAATTTTGTGTATATATTTGTTGTTTTGAAAAATAAAAACAAAATATTTTCAAAATCAGTGATTGGAAGAAACTTATATTGCGCTGCGCTCATTAATAATAATAACGAGATTTGCCATGGAATGAACACTTAGCATCATATTTTTGAGAGTCTAGGCATTTTATTCATCTTTGGCGCTATTTGACTCATTTTAGAAATGAACAAAAATATCAAATAAATGAAAACAACTTGTTGCCTACAATTTTGAATAACAGGAAACGGGCATAACCTCAGGCCTGTATTTCTGTAGTTTTACGAAGCTGTTCTACCTCCTTATTGTATCATGGATCTACCTTGGTTTTACTTTTACCAACAAAGAATTCAGTGGCGGGGTTCTCTAACTCGTTTTTTTCAGTTACCGAAAAAATCGATACCTTTGATACCAGCAATGTTGATATAAAAAAGAAGTTTAAGTTGACAACATTGATATCCGACCTATCCATAGTCTTATAGTGCGCTTTTACTATGGCAGATTAACTCATTGGGATTATTAGATCCAGTGGGTTGATCTTGTGTGTTCACATACACTTCGACAGGTTATAAGTTGTCAGAAGATCTTTGTTTACGAATACACACAAAAGAGAAAAAGAAATCTAATAAAAAACGCGTAATATTTTGTGAAAATAAAAAATGGAACAAATTAACACAAAAAAGTTTATGCTTTACTACATTAACAAAAAAAAAAGCATTTATTTAAAATTATGGGATTATATTTCGCAAATATATGAACATTTTTCAGAAGCCTTTTATTTTTTCAAAATTTCTCCATAGAAGAATATAGGTAGACGCGTCGTTACAGCTGATGCGACAATGAACTGTCAGACCAATTTTGGAAATAAAAATTTTGAATCAAAAATTATTTAAATTTGTAAAAATTTTTGAAAAAAAAAATTTAAATTTTTTTGACATATCAATGCGCCCAAGCGTTGATGCATCTGCCTATATTCTTCTGCCAAGCATTTCTCCCACAATGCATGGCAGAAGAATACAGCTAGACGTATCGACACAGCTGCTGGGACAATCAACTGTCAAGCCAATTTTGGAATTGTCAAAATTTCTCTCCCCGACCGCTCTCATTTGCATTACTTTCGGGTTAACAGACGACTTCCAGTAACAATTGTTGGTTTTTTCATCTAACCCTGTATAATATCGCTAAAATAATTAAAATACCGACTATCGGGAGCTACCGTTATATGGGGGCTATACGAAGACGTGGACCGGCATGGCCCATTTACGAACTTAACCTCCCTATCTATCACAACTCGTTCGAACGATAGCGTGGTTGCAACAGAAAGACAGGCAGGAGTTACAAACGGAATGACAAAGTTAACATTTAAAAGTGTTCAGGTTCAATGAGTTCGCTCTGCAACTATGCATACATATGCTAAGTTCACATGGCACGTGATTCGCTCTCTATTCCTTGTTCGGCTAATAATTAAGAAATATCTACTTAATTCCCCACACAACATTTGCTGAGCGAACAAAGATTTTTGTTCTTCGTCCCATTCAAATCACTCTCAGAACTAAGATTGAATGTTTGCCATCCCTAACAAATGAGAGTATTTATCGAAAAAATAAAGTATGACATTTAAAAATTAAAAATTGAACACTTTAATGAAATTTAAAAAAAAAAATTGTCCACGAGTTGAGATTTCCACAGAAAACTGGAAACAAAAGAAGCTATATTTTCAAAATGTTTGTACCGGCAGAAAAAAATATTTAACAAGTGTCTCTCCAGCAGAATTTAAAAATGGAAAAATGCTAAAATATTTTCAAAATGTTAACATTTACACAAAAAGTTGAAAACATGAATGAAAATTGTAAAATTAGTGATATGATAAATCTTTTGGAGAAAAGCAATAATTTCTACTATTCATATTATTATATATTATATTATTTTACTATGAATTACGAATCGTGCCGTATGAACGGGTTAATTCGTGTACCTTATTCTGAGAGCGAACAACATGTGTAACAACCGTGTTCAAGAAAAACGAAATGAAATCGCTGTATTGACCATTAAGTGACGTTGACGGTATGCTGGCGTTTAGCCCGGCTATGGCTCGTCGGATTGGGGGTTGGTTCTGCCACTTGCAGATCTTTTCGGTTGTACAAACAAAAAAAATCATACCGGACTTCAAACTAAATTAAAAAAGGGGTAAAAAGAAGCCTGAAACATGTCAACAAAAAAAGTAAAAATAAGAAAACGGTCACCTAAACTACAACCAAATACACGAACATGTATACATGTATACACTGGGTTGGCAGCCGCTGGCCGAAACTGGAGTGTTGTTGTTTCGGGTCAATCCTCAATCCGCTGCCGTGGGATTTCCCAGCAGAGGCAGCGGGATTAGCGAATGAGCGTGATGAGCTCCGACGTACCAACCCTACTGATCCCAGAGTCAGTGAACTGACAGTGGAAGTCAACCGGTTGGTACAGGAGCATAAGCGGAAAAAGTGGCTAGACCATCTGAAGTGTTGCAACATTGGAACCGATTTGAGTAAACTGTGGGTAACGGTAAAGTCACTCTAGAACCCTGGAAAAAAGGATGATAGGACAGCAGTCACATTTAACGACGTAACTGTGACTGATCCGAAGAGGTGCGCCGGCTGTTTTAACCGCCAATTTGTCGAGCACCCCGAGAGTGATAGGGCGAGGCGAAGAGTACTACGTCGTATAAGAGCTCTTCCCGCCGAGGATGTACCTCCACAGTTTACGATGGGTGATGTTGCGAATGTCATCCGAAACGCTAAGTCATCTAAAGCGTTGAGCCCGGACGGAATATCAATGGTAATGTTGAAGCAACTGGATACGCCGGGAGTTGAGTATTTAACCAAAGTCCTTAACTTGTCGTTAGCCACCCACATAGTTCCCGAAGCCTGGAAAATGGGCAGGGTGGTCCCGCTACTGAAGCCTGGCAAGGATGCCAGCAAAGGCGAATCATACAGGCCAATTTCGCTTTTGTCGCCAGTAGCAAAGACTCTCGAGGCCTTACTCCTCCCCAGTATCAGAGGAAGCTATTCAGTTGCTAACCATCAACACGGTTTCCGTCCACTACATAGCACTACAACAGCATTGCACGCCATATCCACACATATCAGTCGAGGACTCAACCAGAACAGGCCGTGCCACAGAACAGTAGTGGTGGCTCTCGACCTATCAAAGGCCTTTGATACAGTCAACCATGCCACGCTGTTCGGGGACGTTGAGAACACTACTCTCCGGCCAAGTTTGAAACGTTGGATAGTCAACTATATGTGTGGACGCCAGTCGTACGTGGAATTCCGGAATAAGAAGTCCAAGCCTCATAGAGTGAAACAGGGAGTTCCCCAGGGTGAGGTGATATCTCCGGAACTGTTTAACCTCTACCTTTCCGGAATTCCGCGCCCTCCAGACGGCATCGAGATCGTAACTTATGCGGATGATTGTACGATCATGGCGTCGGGTCCTGTAGTTGATGACATATGTGTCAGGGTGAATAGCTATCTCGTGGAGCTTGCCGCCTTCTTCCACGCGAGGAATATGAAAATATCCGCCACTAAATCGACGGCCACACTATTTACCACATGGACTGCAGAGATGAGAACACAGCTGAATGTGCAGGTCGAGGGGCATATAATTCCGACCACCAACTACCCCAAAATCCTTGGGGTCACATTCGATAGCATGTTCAAGTCTTCCACAGCTATTTGCGATAAAATGAAAAGTGGGAACAAGGTCCTCAAGGCGCTAGCCGGCAGCACTTGGGGTGCGGATAAGGAAACCGTGTTGACCTCTTATATAGCGATAGGTCGGTCGGTAAAACTGCTACAACAACAACCAAATCACCATTTTACTATCAACACAGAAACAGTGCTCCTGGCGGCTGACCAGCCAGGAGATAGCCCTCCCACCGAGAACACCTCTCGCCATGACGTCTACTCATACTTGACGTCCCAGATCTGACCCTTGACTTACCATATTTTATCTCATTCCCACCACCTTTTTAATAAGGCTTTAAGCCGAAGACGCTCTCATCTTTTCAGGTTTAATTATGTACATATTTATTAAAACTATCTTAGATATTTGGCGAAAAACAATTCATTCCATCATAATTCGAATCGAAATCTTACAATTCATTTACAGCGAAAATTTCAGAAAAAATTGCCAATAAAATCAATTTTTGAAAGTAATCTTTCCTTCTTGTACTTTTAGGGCTTAATGGCGGGCACCCAGAGTGTGGAACATTGACGGCAACTTGTGACTAAGGCTTTTTCCCAAAACGTAAGTATGTATGAATTAGTTTGTGTTTCAGCTTTTTAATTATATTCCTTGGTCAGAATGTAAATAATTTTTCTTTGCTTTCAATTCCAGATGAGGACGAACAAAGGAATGTAGGTCGATACCACATTAAATCGACAATCCAACTAATGCCTGGTAACCTAACCTTGAATTGAACTCAGTTCAATGTCGCGTACCTGCATACCAACACAAAGTAAGAGAAAAATTTAATCCAAAACTCTTTTGTTCACCCTTCTAATTTATTAATTTTTTTCTTCTTTCCAAAAAAAAAACGCGGAATTTAATTATGTTGCTTAGTCGTCCGTCTGTCTGTCCGGAGTTCAATAAGTAGCAGTGTCAATTGGGAATGATACCAAAACACGCTGGAGCAGCAATGGCGTAAACTCTGCGCCTACCTCGGTGGATTGGACGGGCGATGGTGTGGCTCGTTGCTCATGGTCTGGATATTGTTTTTCAGTTGATTTTTCTTTAGTTTTAGTATTAGACTAAGATTTTAGTTTAAAACTGTATTCAAAATCTTCCCAAAAAATATTTGATTTATTTATATTAGTTTATAATTTTTAGCCTTTAAGTCCTAAAAATTGAATTTCAATGTTTAAGGCTTAATATTTAGATTAAAGACGCTTGTATTTTGTGTTGTTTTTTTCTGTGTTTTAATCAAATAAATCGTTGAATTCAATTCTCACTGAAGTCACCAGAATCTTGGTAAATTTTCCTTCCTTCGGTTAGTCAGAGCCACACGTCCAATCTTCTTCACGGGTTCAGTAAAAAGGACAGATTTTTCTCTCAATTTTTGCCAGGAAATTCTGGCTACCATTTTCCTCATTTAATTTTTCCATTTTCTTTTTACATTATTCCCCCTTATTGACATTTAAGTAATTGGAATAATCAGCTGTTTCCTAGTAATGGTTGGCAACATTTTTCTTCTTCTTCTTCTAGCTATCAATTATTTTCAGGATTACCCCTTTTAAAGGCGCACACCACACATGATTGAAAGTGAAATAAGAACATAGCAATATCCAACTCTGGCTTCTCTAATTCTGACATCGATAATGGATTTGTGCCGTAACTCTTTGCTTGCTTTGTTTTTTTATAACCTCCACATGGTACAATGAATTCAAGGTAGGGCAGAACTACCATATGATTTCAATTTTTTTATTTTTCTGGCTTAAAATTTCAACTTCATTTGCTTGTGTGTGTGTCTTCTTTTCAATAATAAAAAAATTGTTCAGAAAATATTCAAATTCGGGTGTTTTCAAAATGCTTATTGCAACGTATGCATTGGCAAAGTCTACAGTTTTCTCGCGAAATAAACCATAAGAGATATATAGAACATGATTTTGAAAAGAAATGTTGACCTTTTATTCAGTTTTCGCGGTTTTAAATTATTTATTCAAAATCAATGCAACAAGTTGTTTGCTTTTATATTATTTTGATAGCAATTCTGACATTACAAGCCAAACAGGTAGACCTCTATACTTGGAATTTTTTCAAAGTTAGCCTACCTTGTATTCATTGTACCATGGTATGGAGGGTATGGTCGTCATTCCGTTTGTAACTCATCGAAATAATTATTTTACACCCAACAAAGTATATATATTCATGATCAGCGTAAAATTCTAAGACGATTTAGCCCCGTCCATTCGTCTGTAAGTCTGTTGTAATCACGCTACAGTCAAAACGAATTAAGATAGGGAGAATTGTCTAAATAGGTCCACGTTTTAGTACAGAATGAGATGAAAAAACTGCAACCAACTTAAGACTGTTGTCAGTTCTGAGCCACTTGTCCGATAGCTGTTAAAATTATTCCAGTGACAGCTCATTATATGGTTTACAAGCGTACAAAATCATTTTGGTAAGAATTTTCAGAAAACAAGTTATTCGTGAGGGAATTCAAGCGTGATAGTGTGATTTCTTTATTTTGGCTGGAAACCCACAAATGGCTATTGTTAGAGCACTCCAGCATTTAAATGTTAATAAATATTTTGTATCTCGTACCATCGCTCGTTACCGTGATACTGGTAGCGTAGCCCGACGTCAAGGAAGTGGACGGAGAAAACAGCAACATCAGCCGAAATGGTTCGAAAAGTAAAGATGCGACTTAATCGAAACCCGCGTCGCAGTGGCCGAAAAATGACTCGTGACCTGAACATATCGCAATATTCCAATCGGCATATATTGAAAAATGAGCTTGGGGTAAAGCCATTGAAATTCCAAACAGTGCAAGAACTTACACCGCAACAGAAAGAAAATAGACTCAAAAGAGTTAGAGTCGCTTCGCTTGGACGAAAGTGGTGAACTCCCGAATTTGGTTTTCTCTGTCTAGCAGTTTGTAAACAAACAGAAAGGTCGTCTTTACTTGCCAAAGAGGTCACCTTCGGTTGGCCACCAGAACTCAAGCGCTGGCCATGGTGATGGTGTGAGCCGACATAACAGCCGATGGTATATATCGACCGTGGCATCAGAATAAATGCCGAATATTATCGCGAAAATATTCTGGAGGGTGTATTAAAGCCTTGGGCACGCAAACATTTCGGCCGTAGACCTTGGACATTCCAACAGGACTCAGGACCATCGCACTCAGCACGCACCACCCAAGAATGGTTACAAAATGAGATTCCTGGCTTCATTTCCAGCGCACAATGGCCACCAAAATCTCCGGATGCCAACCCGTTGGACTATTGTGTCTGGAGTATTTTGGAAAGCAAGGTTGGTACAAAAAATTACCAAAGTTTCGATCACCTCAAGTAAGAGTTTCGCCGGGAATGGGCCAAAATACCGCAGAGCAACATTCGAACAGCGTGTGACATTTCATCGGCCGTTTGAAAGCTGTAATTCGTGACAAAGGTGACCAATTCGAACTAAACTAAACTTTAAAATTTGATACTATTTCCGATTTTTTTGCTTTTATTCAATAAAATTAAAAAAAAAAATGTAAAAGTTATGACTTTGTTGCTGTTTTTTATCTCACCCTGTATAAGTTCCCTCTGAAACCAAATATAACTGCTCTTAAGCTAAATGTTTTTAGGTAGTATGATCTACTTTAAATAAATAATTTGTTACGGGAGCTCTACTGCATAGTGGTGTAGGGTATCACCCATCCCGACTTTTAACTTTTCCTTACTGCATTTTTTATACCCTCCACCATACATAGTATATCCCCTATATAACGGTACCTCCCGATATTCGGTATTTTGATGATTATAGCCACATTTTCAACGGAATTGTCTGAAAATGTACACAAAAGTTTCTTGTGAGCACTTTATTCCGTAGAAAAGAATTGTCTATATAGGTCCACGATATCGTAAAGCCCTCATATAACGGTACCCCCCGATATTTGGTATTTTTATGACTGCAGCCAATTTTTTCAATGGAATTGTCCTTAAATGCACACAAGGGGTTCCTTCTGAGTACTTTACCGCCTAGAAGAGAATTGTTAAAATAGGTCCACGTTTTAGTATAGCGCCACCCAGATATTCGCTATTTTCATGATTATTGCGATATTATTCACCAGAATTGTTATAAAATCTTCGTAAATAAAGTTCGGAACCATTACCACAGCCCCTGACACAAATTACATATGCAGGACCACGTCTTCGTATAGCCCCCATATAACGATTTTCATTTGAGCGATATTTTTGGACGGATTTTTTTCAAAATTTTCAAGTTTCTTCCAAATGGTGAAGGGTATAAAAAGTTCGACCTGGCTGAACTTAGCTGCTTTTTTACTTGTTTAAATTAGAAAAAAATACCATTTGTTTTTTTTTTTTACATTAATTTTATTTAAATATTTCTCTCGTTTACGAAAATAGTACACTGAAATTTTTAATTTTTGAATTTAGATTAAACAATAATGGCGCAAAATTAAAAAAAAAATAATAATAATAAAAAAATATAATTATTATGCATACACTATTTGTAGTTAGGATGTACGCAATTAACAATTTCAAAAATATTGTGCATTGGTTGTTGTTGTTGTTTCCTTTTTTTCTTGTTTTTTTCTTTTGTTTAAAGGTACTTCTAAATTCAATCGAATTAAAATTATTAATAACAATATTTATTGAACATATCTAGTTTTTGTTGTTGTAGTTGTTACAGCAAGTGTTATTAATTAGAAAGTAAAATAGTAATAGGTTTTAAATTAATATTTATTTAGTGGCTGTTTCTGGTGTTTTCATTGTTAACATTAAATAAAAAAATAATAGTTTAATTAGGATATATAATTGTTGATGGTCTGGAAAACAAGGAACACTCATTCTCTTTTAAACAATTCAATTGTTCAGAGCCAGTTTTCTTAGATTTTTGTAGAATTAGAAAAAAAAAAAAAAAAAAACAAATTATAAAAAAATTATGGAAATACAAAATTATTTAGGAATAAAATAAAATAAAAATAAGGTATGCATGTCAAATAAATATTAAATAAACTTTACAATTAAATAATATTTCATAGAAGAAGGACAAGAAAAACTATAACCCAAGGTTAGAAATAAGGAGTAGATTTTTATTTAAATACAATATTAATAAAAATAATAATCAAATAAATTGTTTTTGTTTTTATTATTAACAAATACATAGACTTGGTCATACAATGTCTGTAACTGGGTACATTTGTATGTGTGTGGGTGTTATAAATTAATTAATTTATTCACTGTTTCTTTTTTTGAATTGTTTTTCTTCATTTTTGTTGTTGTTGTTGGTGTATTGTAATTCATGCAATTTTGCTTGTTTAGCGGCGCTGGCGGTGCATGGAGATTTGATTCTGTTTTCGCATAGAAATATTTTCTTAGAAATGCAATCTATTTGAAAGGGAAATAATATTTTTTTGCTTTATTTTTTGTTGTTGCTCAATTTGTGTTGTGTCATCGTGGAGGTTTTTTTTTGTTTGTTTGCGTTTCTTAATTGATTTTGGTATTTTGTTTTGTTGTTGTTGTTGTTGTTTCTTTACAATATTGCTCCAATAGTTGCTGTCGAATTTCCTTAACATATTTTACAGTTTCATATTCATAATGGCTGACTTGTTCGTAGCGTAAGCGTCAAGATATTGCCCATTTTACATGAGCTTCTGCTTGGCACATTCAGGGCAAATAATATCGGGTCCATCGGTAATGAAACCACGTCCGACTAGACTAGTCTTGCAACTGGCACATACGAAACAGTCATGATGCCAATGGCGATTTTCAAACGAAATAAAGCGAGTGCCACCAATACCTACAGAATATAAGAAATTTTGAAAACATTAGTATTGAAACAGAAAAAATAACAAATTCAAGTAAATATTTCACTCCAACCTACCGGTTATGGGTTTGACACACGAAGTGCAGCGTTTGGCAAAGAGTTCACCGAAACATTCAGCGCAATAGGGCTTCTCATCGCGACTAGTGAAACGTTGACCAGCCAACGTAATGTTGCAATGGGTGCAAGTGAAGCATTCACGATGCCAGGGTTCATTCTTGTAGGTCACGCCACCTGAAGTAATAACCTAAAATAGGGGGAAATTTTGAGTAATTGAATATTGGAAAATTCAGAAAATTACAAGTTAGAACATTTTCATAGACAAATTGAATTGAAAGTGATGAGGTAAATCTCAGGAAAAACGTGGTCAAGTGACTTAAGTCAAAAGCATAATTTTTTATTCGATTT